GTTCAGGGTTTAGCTGACGGTAAGTTAACCGTGCTTTCTGGAATACACCCCAGGACTGAAGTTGCCCAGCCCTGGGCCCGTATTCACAAAACATCTTAAGGCTAAAAGTAGCTCATAACTCACCGATTTAGGAGAAAATATTAAAAATAATGGGCATGTCAATCCTAAATTTAGGCTCCTAAATTTTTGCTCTAAGAGTATTTCACAAAGCGTTTTAGCTCTAAAAGTAGCTCCTAAATTTGTGAAAGGTTCTCTTAAAGACTCTAAAGTTACTAAGATCAAACCACAAACTATCCTAAAATGGCTGTTGCCGGCAATCTGCCTCTGAATGTAAACATTTGATGATAATGACCTTTTAAAAAGGTATCGCCTTTGGTTTTGGAGGTTATCCCAACTCCAAATTTTCCTTTGATTATATCCTTGTTTTCATTAATCAGTTGGGCAAGAAGTAACAGCTGTTCTTGCATCCAGTTTTTTAAATTTTTAAAAAAAATTTTTTTTTTACATTTGCATGTATTACTATCTGCCTTGATTATTCTACTCTGTTAATTAAAAGGCTGTTTATATGCATATTCACTAATTCTTTATGAGAAGCATACATGTAAGAGGCTGACAATTAACTGAACATATAGGCCTACTTGTTTAATTAGTGACTCTTAGCCTGCATTTTAAAATCTTTATTTGAATGTGGCAACATTTTAATTTTTAAACCTTTATATATGGCAACATCGTCAGAGACCCCTCCCCTATCAGCCAATCACTGTGTGCATAGTTAGTAAGCATGCTGACATCATCCATAGCAAGGAGGTCAACCCCGCCCCCTTACTCTTAGCTTAAGACTTCTCTCTATTCCTTAGTAAACATTTGTCTCAGCAGCTTTGTGAATAGGTTTTAAGAGAAAACTCTTAGCTAAAAACTTTTACTGCTATTCAGGAGAACTCTTAGTTGTAAGATCAAATGTTTTGTGAATACGGGCCCTGGTTTAAAGAAATCCTAAGCTTTCCTAAAAACCTTTGGTTTGGTTTAGTTTTTTGTTTTATTTCATTTCATTTGCTGCCTGGCAAGAACTGGTACTTTTTAAAGCAATGCATTTTGTGTCACAGCTTTGGCTATTTTGTATGTTATTTTCACAAAGGGATGAAATGCTGTATCGACCAATCAGCATCCAAGATGGAAATTATTCAGTTTTATTATAAGGCTTTAGAAAAGAGGTACTGTGTTCATGGCTGTACCCACCATTGAGGTCCCAGAGGTCCGGATATAATTACCTAATAATAGCTGTACTTTGGTGCTGCAAAGATATTGTACAAGGCCAACATAACACAGAGCGGTATAACAGTGCTTGAATGCAGGCATTACTGTTCATTTAAATTCTTGCATGATGCTTTGGTCAAAAAGTGAGATGTAAGATATAAGTATGTAAATATTTAATATGACACCTGTGTTACGTTAAAAATTTTAAATGACCAACAGTAATATCCAGAAATGGAACAACACAACCAGCACAGTTTCAGCATATTAAGCATAAGATTAAATTTGTGTGCATATTGTGCATGAATTTAATTAACTTAGTTAGTTTCCTGATAGCCTTTCTGTAAATTCACTTATTATCCTCAGGCCTAAACTAGAATGTGGTAAAACGTGTGGCTTTGAAAAGTGTGTTTATAGGTTGTGCTTAGCATTTGTGACCCTGGAGCACAAAACCAGTCTTAAGTCGCTGGGGTATATTTGTAGCAATAGCCAAAAATACATTGTATGGGTCAAAATTATCGATTTTTCTTTTATGCCAAAAGTCATTAGGATATTAAGTAAAGATCATGTTCCATGAATATATTTAGTAAATTTCCTACCGTAAATACATCAAAACTTAATTTTTGATTAGTAATATGCATTGCTAAGAACTTCATTTGGACAATTTTAAAGGCAGTTTCCTCAGTATTTTGATTTTTTTGCACCCTCAGATTCCAGATTTTCAAATAGTTGTATCTCTGCCAAATATTGTCCTATGCTAACAAACCATACATCAATGGAAAGTGTATTTATTCAGCTTTCAGATGTTGTATGTATCTCAATTTTGAAAAATTGATACTTATGACTGGTTTTGTGGTCCAGGGTCACATTTAGCCTATTAAGAAAAAAAGTGTCTATGTCTACAGCCTTTGTACAGTATACTGATATGTTTATGGCTGGTTTGCTCTATTAATTTAAAAGGATAGTTCACCTAAAAATTAAAATTCTGTTATTTACATATTCAAATTTTATTATTTCAAACCTTATTTCTATTTTTCATGACCATGTGTATTTTTTTTTTTTGTTCCACTAATGCAGATAATAATGGAAATGACTGTCATGGTTTTACTGCTACTGTTATCCGAATTTTTGCCCTCCAGACATCTTAAAATAAAATCAACATTTTTCCAGGGGCCATATATCCCCGAACTCCCCAAGTAAGCTGTGTTTTTGGACCTCAATATTTCTGAAACCCTGCATATGGCCTTGACCATGTCATACTCAAACTCAACTGGTCATTCCCGGCCAGAATCCCGGCTCAAATGCAGTATTTGTTGTGTTGTGGGTTTGCTGTGATGAGATCCACACAAGCAGACCCCATTACAGCTAGCCTTTTTTTGAGCCTAACACAGTTGATAAATCTGGTTTACCATGCTAACCCCATTTGATATATTGCTAAAGATTAGGGTGTTTAGGATTAGCTTGCAAGTACAAAATCCTCTTAATGAGTATTTATTATTGGTAGCATAGCAACAGACTATCAGTAGTCTACCCTGAAGCGTTCTACAGGTTTGTCACCAGATATGAACAGGATGGTGTCCTCCTGCTTCTTCAGTTGTGAGCACAGTGCTGGTGCCTGTCATGGTCAGGTGAACATGACCACCTGCTTCTCGAATATCCTCAGCTCACACACTTGTATATGTATTGCAGAAATCAGATGATGACTATGTATACAAAAAAATCGATGAACACAAAGCCGAACCAGAGGAGGTAGCAGAAGAAGAAGAGGAGGAGGAGGAGGAGGAGGAGGAAGAAGAAGAGGAGGCGGAGAAAGGGAAAGATGAAGATGAAGCTAAAGCAGAGGAAGATACTGAAGCAACTGGTTTGTAAAATTATTTATCCTTGTTTGCTATTTAAGTACTTTTTTTCAGTGTAGTTATACATAATTTCCTTCTTTTGTGGCTCCCTTTTCAGGTAATGAGAATGGGGAGGGGATGGACAAGGACATTGGAAAAGATGGAGGAGATACAGAGGATGAGGACGAGGCCAGTAAGCCAAATGACAGTCCCTCAGAGGATGAAGTAAGCAAGTTCACATTTGACTTTTATTCTTCCTTAGCCAGTAGGGGAGTGACAGTATAGTTTATATTGCTATACGTTGATGTTGCAGACACAGAATGAGCTGCTGGAAAAGTGCACAATCCAAGTTGTCTTAAACATGAGACGTGTTTTATATTAAGTGCTTCGAACTAAATGATAAACCAACACATCTTGCCCTACTGCCAGATGAATATTTTATAGAAAGTTGATTTAGTTTAATCACTTTCTCACTTAATCACATTTCAGTTTAAGTTATTAAAAAGGGTTCAGTTCCTTGTGAGTTTTTAAGTTATGAGCTTTTTAACATGATCAAATTGCTCTGATCGTATTTATTGTTTGTATCTTGTTTGAAAAATGATTCAGTTGAGTTTAGGAATAGGACTTTTTAATCTAGCATTCTACTGTCATAACCACTGTTAGCAGGCTCTGGAGAAGAGCTCTGTCAAACCAGGAGCTGTCTTCACCAAACATCTAGGTCAGTGAAGTACTAGGAATGCAAATCAGTATTGCTTTTTTGGCATCGAAGAAAGTTGTTACAGTCAGAGCTGATCTCAACTCAGCATCATCACTGACACTCTCTAACAGCAGACCCAGACACAAGCACACTGAATACAGACTGACCACCATGTATTGAGCTTTGGAAGCAGACAGGTTGTTTTTCGAGTGATGAACAGTTTCGTTTTTCTGCTTTTTTTAGGTTGTATGTTCAGCCTTACAAGGACAGCCTTTTGTTTACATGTTTGCAAACTGTTCATTGCTCTTGGAAATAAATATTTACTATAACATCCTGTGTACCGTTGACATGACTTCACTAGGAACACGGCTTACTCGTTTGTGCAAAGTATTTTATTAAAAGCATAATTGTAACAAAATAAAATGTACACTTTTAGAACAGGCAGTGCTTTATATTGGGTGCTTGCAGACCTAAATTATATGACTGAATTTTTTTTTTTACAAAAAATAACATTAAACAGATTGAGTATGTAGTGTTGTTGCAGATGCTTCAGTGTCATGTCAAATTTCACATCAGCAAACTGAGCAAAGAATCCGTCCTCGTAAATGCCGCTCAAGCAGACACTTTGGAGCAATCGGATCAATATCACTCTGCAGACTCAACCTCACTTCAGTCTTTGAAAGCAGTAAAAGCTCAAATCCATTTATTTCATCCATTTTAAGTCCCTCAATCCAAACGACATGACCATGAAGAGCAAACTCTCCAACACAATGCTGCAGTTTACACTGCAAGCCGGTTTCAACCTATTGATCCTGCTCAAAAGATTTTGAGTTTGTGCACTAGTCAGACCTTTTAAGATAAATCCACGTATGAAAGTGAGTAAATGTCATTCGGTGAGGCAGATGCCTCTTATAATGTAACATACTGAGGAGGTACTTCGTTTAAACCAATTGGTCAGGAAATTACTGTAATTGCATACTTTCTGCACCAGCTGAGCAACTGTCATTGCCAATAGAAAAATCACATGCCAAAAGAGTGAGGACTAATTTAGGTTATCCATCCCTAGCCTTTTACTTCATGCACTTTAGTTATGGGTTATGTCATGTCATGCATTTTCAAGAGAACATTTCTGTGTTCAAGCTGTGCTTGCTTTACACTGTAAATGTTAGATGTGGAAAGCCAAAAAAGCTGAAATTCAGCATAACTGTATTTTTAGAAGAACTCTTCAAAACCAGACGTTGGCTGTCTAGTATTTAAAAAGGTTGTGAAGCCAATGAGACGGTCTTGAGATTGGTTACATACCTGCTAAATGAATTATACAGGAGTGGTATTACACCAGCTCTGTACTTATCTGATCACAAACTGCATCATGCATCCTTTTATATCTTGTAACACAGTTAGCTGACACGGAAAGTCAGCAGCTCAGTCCATGGTATTACCCAAACCATGCTGAGAGATGCATCAGTAAATTGTACAACAAAATAAATACAAAACAGCGGCTTATATGTATGAGCTCGTAGTCTGAATGCTGGAAAGAGGAGATGATGGAGTATGTAGACGTGATCCACTCGTTATTTCCATTTGCTTTTGGCGTCAGTGGTCTGAAACACGCTGGAGGCGGACATTAGGTTCTCGATGTACTGCCCGAGAACCTGGTTCTCCGATTTGAGCTTAAGGTTCTCCTCTTTCACCGCATCCACACGCGCAGAGAGATCTAATGGAAACAGACAAAACACAGAGTGCATCACTTAACTTTTTCCGGCAGCCATTTAGAGTGCCTGAGTGGATCAGAGGAGAATGGTTAGCGGAGAGTTAACCACTAGAGCAAGGTGCAGGGGGAAAATGAGACCTTCAAGTGTGTGCTGAAGCTCCAACACTTGGTTTATGAGTCTCGTCTTTTCCTCTTGCTCAACTTGATTCTCCATATCTCCTGAAAAGACACACATACAAATCTGAAATTGCACCAAAGCTATTTAAACTGAAGAAACACGCATTTTAACAACACAATATAAAATATTATACCAAATTGTGGGTGATATTTACCATCAATCTCACAATGCATGGTGCTGTACTGGTCCTCCAGTCTGAAGCGCAGGACTGTCGGTTCTCCGTCAGCTGTGAGAGATATTATCAATGTGGTATAAAATATGCTTTTAATACAAACATATAATGATGTTATTGGCCATGTACAAAAGTAATTCGTTGGTATATAGGATACAGTGCAAACTAAGCCGTTTCAATATCCCAGCGCATCGAGATATAGTTAGCTATTGGCTAACACAACAAACCATCGCCTGATATGAATAGATATAGTTCACAGAGAACTGAGATCACCGTCGTTTACATTTCATGCTTAAAACGTAATTATATTGCTATTAGTACTCGAGACATTACATTACAACTTTGGTTTTATGAAGTTTTAATTCATGCCACGTCCAACTCATCAGTCTCCATTGGTTATCATGCTACAGGCCGCTGCAGCCTGGCTGTTAAAATTCTTGTTAGAAACAGCTTTAAATGACCCCGATAATAAAATTCAATTTACATAATCAGCAACAAATGAACTTGGTAAATAGGCAATTATGAAATCAATACACGCAGAGGCGAAATAAACATTAAGTATAGTGGAGAACTTAAGTAACACACATCAGCACACTGATAAATTCACACAGCCCTACCTGATATAAGACTAAAATGTTCAAAAATTATCAAGCCTCCAAAGCTGATGCCAAGGTAATGATACAGACCATCCGTTACCTCATCGCTTCGGTCTCTTTCACATACTCACTACCAAACAGCACCGACAGAGGCAGACAAAGCTCTCTAAAAATATGAGGCTGTGCACAAAGCAATACAGCATGCTGCTTTCAGCAAATGGCCTGGCCTTCTATTTTTTAAAGAATAGTATGTAAAACAGAATGCATTATGCAACATAATAAACATTTCTCCTCATTAGAAAAAGTATGCTACTTTGCTGTCATATGGCCTCATTAAAAAATTAAAAAATTAAATAAATGTAGCCTAATAATAATTATAAATACTTTGGTCAAATCTGTCACCTAAATCAAAATTCCAGTATTATGATATAGCCCAGTATAACATCTCCTCCCTGTTCTACAAAAGAAATAAATTCATACAGGTTTGGAAACAGCAGACGGGTGAGTAGGCCTAAATGATGAATTCATTTTTAGGTGGATTATACCTTTAAAAATGACAGATCTGAGTAGACCTGAGTTTTCTGAAATATGCAGCCTTTGTTCTACTTGCTGCTCTGGCAGTAGCTACATTCACACATGCTTATGTGTGAGCTGGTCTCTGCAGTCCCTGCACACAAGCACACACCTACTGCCTCTAATGGAGGTTTCTGGCATGTGTTGACACAATACCTCTCCATTTATTCCTGTATTTGGACAAGAAAACCACATGCTGCACAGCACTAAAGCATTTGATGCTAAAATTATTATGCCAACTTATACTTACCAGTTTAAACAAAACTAGTTGTTTTGATCCGGAGCAGATTTTATTTTTTCTGAAAATACTGTTGATGTTATCGCATTGGACCAATATTGGAATCAATCTTTAAATCAACTTGTTTTCTTTCAATTAGCACAGGTTTTGTATTATTTTTGGATTGGATTGATCATTGGCTTTATTGATCTGAGCTTATTCACCTCAGTTTTTGAGTGAACATTTTCTTGCCAAAATTTACCACAAACACTGCTTTTTCACACAAAAACTGAGGTGCATAAGCTCAGATCAATGAGGTCTATGACCAAAAATGTATCAAACACTTCCAAAAAGCAAAACAAAACCTGTGCTAACAGAAAGAAAACAAGTTGACCAAAAGATTGCATTCAAGATGTGGTGTTAATATAGGATAATGAGAGACAAGCAATTTTTAAACACCAATGATTTTCAGCATAGCACAAGGTTTGTTTTAGTTAACTATTATAACTCTGAAAGTCCCTCATTCAGATTATAGCTGTCATCTTAATGTGCACATGTGTGTGTTTATTCACACATGTCCCAGTTCTATTACTGAATTGTTACCGGGCAAAGAAAACTGGTTTCAGATCAGCTTTAAAGCAAGACAAGGCAAGTCTTACCTGAATCATCAGCTAGTGAAATGTTAGTAAAAGTCCCATCATCTTCATTCACGTTTCCCTCCATGACTGAGTGTGTTCGCAAATGTGTGTGGGTGTAGCTTATTAGCAAAACAACAGTTAAATAATTTAAACTATGGAGTTAAATACTTTTGAAAAGGTTATTTTCTCTCTATCTAGCTCTCTCTCTCTTCCTGAAACACTGTGTAGTTTGTCCGGCCTTACCCTCTCAATTATTCACCATCGGTTACCAACCAGACCTGTGTGGTAACTCAGGTGACAAAGCTGGAGCAAACTTTAGGGCGACACCTGCTGAGAGATCCAAAGTTCACTTGTTCACTTTCTCAGATTAAAGTGAGTCATCCCCCCCACATTCTCACCCAACTGCGTACACCTTTAACTTTCTCGCACCGTCTGTCTCATTTCATCTGTACTACAGTGGGACACGTTAACTAAAGGAAGTGTCTGATGGCCTCACACAAACAAAACCACATGGCAGTGCCTAACTACATCGACTTAATTGGTTTGCACTTTGATCAGTGTTGTAAAAAGCCCAGAGTATTACTACAAGCTACAGAAAAGACTTGAAGTGATACATTGATTGACACTAGATGTTTTCGCTTTCGTTTCATTTTAAGCTGTAGGCATAAGAAATGTTGACATAGTTTCTGATTCTAATAGAGAGTTAAACTCAGATACCTGCAGCAAATACTTCTTATGCACAGGCTGCATTTCTATTATGCAATAGCATGACTTTTTTTTTTGTCTACAAATTCAAAGATGTGTATCTTAATATTAGTATCTTCATGAAATGACAACAAAGCTAACATACATGGACTTCAAATGACAAAACTTGATTTTGTGGGGTTTTGGTTCAGCCAAAAATGAACATTTGCAGAAAATGTGCTCACCCTCAGGCCATTCAAGATGTTAAATAGTTTGTTTCTTCATCGGAATAGATTTGGAGAAATGTAGCTTTACATCACTTGCTCACCAATGGATCCTCTGCAGTGAATGGGTGCCATCAGAATAAGAGTCCAAACAGCTGATAAAAACATCACAATAATTCACAAGTAATCCGTATGACTACTTATGACCCATAACTTTGTTTACAAACAAAAACTGTCCAAAACAATTCTAGTTCTATCCGCTGTTTGAACTCTCATTCTGACGGCACCCATTCACTGCAGAGGATCCATTGGACATTTCTACAAATCGTTCCAATGAAGAAACATCTACATCTTGGATGGCCTGAAGATGAGTACATTATTGTTTAATGTGTGCTCATTGTACTTTTGATGGATATAACAGTCCCGAGGTTAGTACGAGGATAAATCCAGATTTTGGTTACATTTTCTCTTGATGGCAACTTTAAAATGCTCCTAAGAAAGGAAAACACATCGACTAATGGATTATAATAATTAAGATTTAAATTTTACACTAAACAAAAGCTCTAGGCGCTGTCTAAATAGTTACTAGTTTTAACTATTTTTAAAATCTGATTAATGAACTTTATTAAATATATTTTGAAAGTATAGGGCATACCTTGCATGGAATAAAGTTAGTGTGGAATAAAATATTAAATATGATAAAAAAGTGCCTCCTGGTGGCTAAAGCCTGCCATAAATTTAACTAGGAATTGACAGTGTTTTCATCTTCTGTGTTGATCTCTAGCTGTGCTCATGAAACACAGATTTAATACTTGTCAAAATAAATAAACATATAAATGCATCTCAGCTAGATTACTGCCTATTGATTAGGTTAAATGTTTGTTTTGTAAATGTAGGTTAAATCTTTTTATTCTTTTTCTATGAGATATTCATATTAATTTTAAAATGTATTCATTTTGTCTATTAAATGTGTAGTAGTATTAATACATGTAAAGATTTTATAGCATAAACATAATTTACAATACCCTAATAATATATGATAGCCATAGACTGTAGTCAGGAAATAACGTCTTTGCAGCTTTACAAAAATACTACATAATCGCTGAAGCTAAGTGACTGCACCATCATTTTTATGAATACAAAACTATTTGATGTGATTCATTTAGATTGTACCTTTGATTATATTCAAGGTAATTGAACAATACATAATTTCCTGCAAATATTCCAAGCTTATTAATATATATACAGGGGCAAGGGAGGCAGTGTCTCCTCAAAAAATTAGATGAGAAAATAATCAATATTACAAACATAAATCGCGAATATTACTAAATATGGCATTAAAAGTATAAAAGTCACTCGTTTTTATAAAGTAACACTGTCAAACAGCGACAACCGCAGGTAAAGTTACAGTGGAGGCTTGCCTCCCTTCAGTCCATTGACTTTCTACAGAGCGTCAGAGACCCTTAGCGTGCCGTGACTTTTCTTGAGGCTCATTGAAGATGAATGGGAGAAAGTCACGTGAGAAGAGGCAATGCCTCCGTCGCGCTATAATTGGATATGATCGGGTTATGATTGGATGCGATTGGTTCCTGCGATAAATCCCGCCTCTTGTTTTCGTGCGAGCTCTGGGTCTGAATGAAGAAAATTATGTTGTTATTGATTAATTAATTATAAAGTAAGTAAACAACTCTCCCGCTACTTTGTGTCACGTCAAAATAAAAACGTGATGACTGCGTCAGTTTTCAGTGAGCATTCAGCATGATGAAATGAAAGATATATCTTCGTGTCTGTGGCAGTGTTTACAGAGCTTTTATGACGATTACCCTTGAATTACATTCGATTACATCTTGAAAATAAGTTGACTATTAAAAAGAACAGCTGAACATCAGTTCACAAATAAAAAATATTGCTAGCATTTTACAATAAGGTGTCATTTAATGAGTTAACTAACATGAACAAACAATGAACGTTTATTACAGTACTTAAATCCTACAGTTGTTCATTGTTAGTTCATGTAGTTCACAGTGCATAAACTAATGTTAACAAGCACACTTTTTATTTTAATAATGCATTAGTAAATGTTGAAATTAATATGAACTAAGATTAATAAATGCTGTAGAATAAAAATGGATAAACACACTATGAAATGTATTAGTATTAAAAATATTAAATAAAATACAAAATAATATAAATAAAATACAAAATAGAATTATATTTGTTCTCTTTTTTATATAATATTTATGTACCCAGGAAAATGTGACAACATTAAGTGTAAAGTGTAACAGGGACACACACACACATTTTATTTTATATATATATAAACTGCCTCCTCATTTTAAAACACCACCGCACGCCACTGATATATATATATATAACTTACATATATACTTCACTGGAGGATTTGTTTCTTACAAACACGCAACTTCTCACGTTACAAGACATTAACTGATGGACTGGAGTTGCGTGGATTACTTTTGGATTACTGTGATGTTTTTATCAGCTGTTTGAACTCTCATTCTGATGGCACCCATTCACTGCAGATGATTCACTGGTGAGCAAGTGATGAAATCACTCCAAACCTGAAAAAACTTGAAATTTCTCCAAACCTGTTTTGATGAAGAAATTAGCTCATCTACATCTTGGATCACTTCAGTAAATTTTCAGCAAATTTTCATTGTTGGCTGAACTATTACTTTAAAATTTGTAAAAAATTACAAAATAATTTAAGCTTAAGTCAACACATTTAATTTGAGATATCTGTTAGTATTTACAGCATAAATGTCTCTTCAGATGAAAAGTGAGTGAATGAAAAGGAAGGAATAAGGAAATTACAAAGAGAGGATGATGAAGGTTGAGATGGTGAAGTTGAGATGAAGACAGAAAAATAAGAGAGATGGAAGGAAGGAACAAAATTATATATTGACAGGAGATAAGAATTTGACAGATAGAAAATGGCACAATAAGTGACAGAGGGGCAGATTGAAGCATAAACACTAATGGAGATGTGTAGGCAGTCTCTTGTTCTCTCTCTCATTCCTTTCTGACTGCAAAGTTAACAGATGCCCACGGCTGGCAGTGGCTCTCTTGATGCTTGTAAAGGAGGCTCGACCCATCTGCACTGTGCATAAGCACCAGCAACAATCAATCCTGTACAGACCCAAAATCAGCTTTGGGTTTAGGAACACCAGCAGAGCAATGAGAATTAATGTTATTTTTTGACTGGTGCAAGAGCAGTAATTAACCATGTTACCAAACATGTGCTGCGATGGGATCTCTCCCTGTACAGCCAAAATGGCTGTAATGTAATTGTAATGCTGTGAAAAGTGAAGAGCTTTTATATGGCAGTTCGCAAAACAAGAAGGTAATATCGAGTAACTTACATTCATACACATTCAAACTATATAGAACATACTTTTTTAACGGTTGCAATGTAAGTACACCTACTCAGAGAGCATGCAATTTCAGGGGTAGCCAGTCACTTGTGAAATTCTTGAACAGTCAGTGTTTAAAAAAAAAAGGTTGAGTGTCTGATTTAATGACTAACTCTTAAAAGCAGTTTGTTGTTGCTACCTATTGGTGGAAAGAGTGCACACGCAAAAAGTGTCACTAAAAATAATGGCCAATCAAACACACACACACACACAAAAGCTTTGTAATATAGGCCTATATGCTATTTAAATAATACACTGCATTACAGTAGCTACACACCTGCATGTGGTTTTCAGTTTTCTGTTTTTCACACCAATTCCACCTTCCCCTTTCTTTCACTCTCCGAGCAGATCTTTCCTCTCTATAAATAGAAATCACATTGCCGGTGACCATACAAATGATAATATGCCAACATAGCATGTCCAGACCATAGGACACACCAGGGAGTGAAGGTGCCCCTGTGCCCACGTTTTGTACAGACAAGCCAGGGGAAGAGGAGGCGGCAATGAACCAGGCTCCAGTGCTTTGAGGCGTGACATCCAGCCGAGGTTCAATCTGCCTGCACTGCAAAATGATGCAGTAGAACTAAACCCCAGACACAGAAGACATGTTCCAAATCACTTCCCTTCTGTGTAGTGCATGAAATACCCCTAAAGACTTAACAAGACTTCAAGAAAGGAATCTCAAATCTGTAAATGGTCTTGCTTTTTCATGCAGTGATACAGACACATATGCAGAAAAAACTACACTATTTATTTTTGTGACATTGTATTTATGTGACATTGTAGAAAATAATTTGTAATTCTAGTTACAATGCATCTTGTATTTAAAGCCCATCACCTAATTTCCAGCATATAATGTATTGATTTGTTGTCTAAACGTGTTTACAT